GTGTGTGGGAGGAGAGGTGGGAGGAGAGTGTGTGGGGAGAGTGTGTGAGGGAGGTGTGGGAGGTGTGGAGGAGAGGTGGGAAGATTGAGGGAGGAGAGTGGGAGGAGAGGGGGAGGAGGAGGAGAGGGAGGAGAGTGGGGAGAGAGTGGGATGGAAGAGTGTGTGTTTTTATTGGATGCTACGTTGAGACACACACACACACACAACTCCCCCTCTCTCTCATAGGGTGCCACCACATCCATACATAAAACAGAGGACATTCCTCTCTCTCTCTCTCTCGTATAGTCTTCCCTTCAACACCATCGTCAAACTGTTTACAGCTTGAGAACTGAAAATTAAATGTTAGAGTCGTACGGTTATGTTTTCGTCCCTAACTGCTGAGTTCAGGCCTCGATCTAACTGACTTAAGTGAAGGTTCGTTAGCAGTTCCAAAGTTAGGGTTCATATCAAGGGTTCAAATATGGCATGATATTGTGTCCAGTATGTGTGTGTGTGTGTGTGTGTTTTGAGGTTCATAACCAAAGTCATTGTTTGAACCCTGAACTGGATCTCTGAGGCAGTGAGGTTCAGATAATGGTTACAGATTCTTTAGGGTTTGTATGTTAATATATATTCCTCAACTGTTGATGGTAGAACGTATTGGAAGTGTGTCACGAAGAATACTTTTACTTAATTAATGGTTCAGTGTGACTCTACCTAACTAGATACCTTCACTTAGTACCAGTTAGGATACAAAAATGACAGGCTGTCGTGACAGTGATGATATGACAGTGATGACACTCTTCCATGACAGTGACAAACTATCGCTGCGATAACAATTGCTGGTGGTTTTGTTGGTTGTCTTTTTTGACAGTCATATTATCGAGAGTCATATGACAGTCATATGTCAAGACAGTCAAATGACAAATATACGTCAAACAGTCATAAGGACAGTCAATTACATCAAGAATCAGTACAACATACATCCAGACAGTCATACGATGTCAAGCGTCAAGAGTCATATGGCAGTCATACGTCAACACAGCCATATGACAGTCATAAGGTCAAGAGTCATATAGTCATACGTCAGACAGCTATATGACAAAGGCCATACGTCAAGACATCCATAAGGACAGCGCCATACGTTAAGACAGCTATACGTCAAGACAGCCATACGTTAAGACAGCCATACGTCAAGACAGCCATACATAAGACAGCCATACGTCAAGACAGCCATACGTTAAGACAGCCATACGTCAAGACACAGCCATATGCGCAAGGTTATACGTCAGACAGCCATATGACAGCTATAGCGTTAAGACAGCCATACGTTAAGACAGCCATACGTCAAGACAGAGCAATGTAACTGAAAACGAAGTACAAATTTGA